AGATGGACACCTGTAAAGTAAAGTGAGATATAAACACCTGTAAAGCAAAGCGAGATATAGACACCTGTAAAGCAAAGTGAGATATAAACACCTGTAAAGCAAAGCGAGAGATGGACACCTGTAAAAGCAAAGTGAGATATAAACACCTGTAAAAGCAAAGCGAGAGATGGACACCTGTAAAGCAAAGTGAGATATAAACACCTGTAAAGCAAAGCGAGAGATGGACACCTGTAAAGTAAAGTGAGATATGGACAACTGTAAAGCAAAGTGAGATATAGACACCTGTAAAGCAAGGTAAGAGATTGACACCTGTAAAGCAAAGTGTGATATAGACACTTGTAAATCAATGTGAGAGATGGACACTTGTAAAGCAAAGTGAGATATGGACACCTGTAAATCAAACTGAGATATGGACACCTATAAAGCAAAGTGAGATATGGACACCTGTAAAGCAAACGTTTGTGCTAAAAATCTTCAATTTCAGTAAACAGGAATTGTGTTTCTTCGGAATGAAATTACAAGGTGATAATCACTTAAGTAAACACAGGATATGATCAAATCATTGAGATATTTTACAGAAGCCTTCAAACTCGATTCGCCTAACATCTTAAGAGTTTCATAAGGAGGTAGTAAAAAGTTCTCAATCTGGCCAACTTCCCAAAATTTGACTAAATGACCAAACATTGTCAAAATTACCTCTTCGGCGAGTCGAGAGATTTTCCTCCTCACTTTGTAATTGTAGCTATTCAACTGATTGAAACATTTTCTTTGCAACAAAATCATTCAGAAGTAGGAAAAGTATCAGAAAGGCTTTACCAAAAGTTGTCCAAATTCCCTGTGTCTTTCAGCAAGCAATTAAAGAATTCCTTTCAAAACAAGTTTTTGCCATTCTCAATAAACAATATTAGATTCTTGATAAATAATTTTCTTGTTTGTTACATGTGGACAGTTTTTATTTTATTCTCAACGCAAAATACGACATTACTTTGCGAACAATCTCTATACTATCAAGACTTCAATAGTAAAGCCACTTATTCCAGGGAACTTACAAAGACAACGCAACAGTATCGTTGGCTAAAGTAAATTTGTGCTATTTTCTCACTTTATAACAACAGTGATGACGTCGTCAGAAAAAAATCCCCTGTGTATACTGATCTTTCATTTCTTTTATTTCTTTCTGAAACGCGTTAACCAATGTCTTACAGTTTCTGTAAATGTTTAGCAAGTATTAATAAATGTGGAAGGAGACATGATTTTCTGATCAGACGCTATTTTGCCAGACTGTCGCTCAGTCTATATATGTGATAAGACAAAAAAATTGTGTTATTAGCGAAAACATTCAACCTCAAAGGCTATATCAACAATATCCACCTTTGTCATCGTTGACAACTATAATACTATAGGAGACATTACGTAGCTTTACTGCCTTTTCTATAAATAATTTCATGATAATTGTTCGGATGAACTCTCTAATATGGTACGTGAACTTTAGGAATTTAAGCACAGTATTAAATTGGCAACAAGGTCTCACCAATTTACAGTTGACTTGGCTAAGCGTAATCGTAAGTTCTATGTTAACATTTTCTTTTCTCGCACTTCTTGCTTGTGGAACACTCTTTCGGTCCCATGTTTTACAGCCAAATTTAATCTTCAAATATTTGAATGTAATGCCAATCAGTATCTATCTATATTTCTGAGATGAGGTGTTACGCACACTATTTATATTATTCGGATTATTGTCCTCCTCTTTGTTGCCATATTTATCACAACGTTTCGGCCTTCTTCAGGTTGCTGGAATGTCTAATTGAACCCTTTATTTTGCTCGCTGTTGTAGACTGTTCTATTTCCACGTGCCATGTCTAATATTTATACACCGTGCTATGTGTCCTTAAGAACCCAAAGAGTTGTGAGTTCAATACCTGGTTAAGGCAGTGGAGAACTTGGAGAGGGGGATTAACAGGAGATAACTGATAACTGGCATCCATTAGACATGGCACATGGAACTAGAACAGTCTACACCAGCGAGCGAAATGAAGGGTTCAGTTCGATATTTCAACCACCTGGAGAATTGTAGTTTAAAAACAGTAAAATCTGCCTTTCTAACCGAATCGCTCCTCTGTGGTTAAATCGGTAAAGCACGTCAGGCTATATGACGGTTCCGTATAGGATTCAGGTTCGATTCCTGTCGGAGGACTCAAATTTTCTATTTCTCAGACATTCAGGCCGGTAAATGTCGTTAATACTGTTTATTATAAACAGAGCATTTGCTTAAATATTTGTATCTATAAAAAAGAATGTATGAACATAAAGAAATGTCTTAAAATAAATGGAATTCATCTGAACACTTACAATGGAAATAGCTACAGCGTATCTATAAATCAGGCGTTAATTAAAATACGTTAATTAGCATAAATGGTGAATAAGTCTACACGAGCTAGAGGCACTATTTTGTAGAGTATAACAAATTCGATTCTCACCTCTGACCTCGTTCCTTGGCCCTATACTCGAGTAAGCTACACTTATTGATAGATACCTGCTGTAGAATAATATCAAGCTAGCTAGTTTTGTAGATCGATTACTGAATGTAGAGATTGTAAACGCCACTAGGTGCTCAGATATACTTGACTTATGTCAGACTAAGCGTGTACCACGTTGCAATAGCAAGCTAAGTCGTAAACCAATATATCGGTATTAAGGCTGTGATGAAGATGTGGGATTACCGGCTCGAAAAGATAGAAAAGCAAGATAAGTTTAAATTTCAGTTGCGACCGTTACTTTCGGATAAATCCTTTTGAGAAGGTTATGAATCCATATCGACCTGCTATCGATTACATTACAGGGTATACTCGGCAATTTGAAAGCCAACCACGATACTAGAAGGCCAATACTGGTCCAAAACTATTGGTGTGGTAATGGGGAGAAGGAAGATCTCTTCGGCCTTGGTTGGCACTCTGTCTAGAGATGATGAGTTAATAAAAAAAATAAACAAACACAAAATCATCCATCCCCAAGCATTTTGGGACACTCGTGAGGATGTGTCAGCCAGGAAAAACGAACAATTCTTAAGTCACACGAGTTGCGCAATCTGGCATAGGCGAGGATAGCGTCTTCTATTCAGAGAGTGAAATCAACACTAAATGCTTCCACTGCTCTGAGATTACCCCCACTTGTAAATTATACGCTTTCTAATAACAGCCTGTAAGTAATTCAGTGCATCTCAAATCAATACGGAAAGGCCGACTGAGATAGTCGCTAACTACACCATTGACAACGACGAAAACATGACATCGCTCAATTCTATATTGTCACAAAAACTGCTTACAGTATGTGAAGCGGGAGACATCATATAATAGCTGACTCAGATCTAAGGTACTGTTCCAATGATAATTATTACAAAAATTTGAGGAAACCTATCACAGATATAGACCCTGAAATAACATGTTTAGTATTACAGTTTCTCACGCTCAAATAACATCATTAAACAGATTGTATTTTATTTTAGTAAGACGTGACTTTGTTTTCGTAAAATATTTCATTTTAGTAAGATTTTATTTTCTTAACATCATATAGTTGCCACATTATACGGTTATGGTTAACGAGTTAACCCTTTGAGACGAGCCACCGGTTGAAAAGTGGTAGAGAAAAGCTATCGGTTGAACGGTGGGTAATGACTTGTAATATATATATATATATATATATATATATATATATATATATATATAATTTTGGAATATATTTGGTTGGATATATGTGAGTTTGTGACCCAGGGTTTCACGCTTTAGCGATCGTCAGACAAACTGATTACTTTTTGTAAAATTCTGCGTTTATGTAGATTGCGTGTATTGGTGTTATTGTGGAAGTGGTGGGGGAAACTTCGTCGTTTAGGTCATCGTACTAATGCAAACATCGATGTATATTCATACGCCTAATGGAGTACGCAGACACATATACATACTTGGTCGTCCGTCGGGACTCATACAAATATAAGCATATGTGAGCAGTTTCGGATATGACATATGTATGTATACGGGTAGTGTTGTGTCTATACATACGCATTTGTATGTTGAAATTCAAAGATTGGAAGTGTAGCGAAAATTTCTCGTGAATGTCTCGTGAATTTATACATGTCATATTTTTATTTTTCCACTGAATAATATTTCCTCGCATGTATGTATATACGTGTGGTGGGGTTTGTGTAAAATTATGATTGGTAAAAATTATTATTATTTATATTTATTTTTAATTTTTTGAAAAAAAAGGGGGTTTATTTGTTATATTTAAATCTGGTTATTTGTTTGTTTTTGATGACTGTGTATATGTAATAGGTAAAAATTTCGGTTTGTAATCCTTATTGGTTATTTTATATGGTGATATTTAATATTTAATATCCTGGGTGAGAGGGTAGTTTATGTTAATAATTATAGCGGGTCTATATGATATGATGTGATAGTAATGTTGCAAGGGATTGGAGACAATGATAATATAATTAGCTAATAGTTATTGTAAATTGGTAGAAGTGATTAGTAATGGTGGTGGGAGAATGATAAAACCATAAATGTAGTTATAGTGGTGGTAGCTTGAACTAAAAAGTGGTTGTTGGTGTTTTATTTTATATTGTTATATGTATTAATTTATTTTGGTATAAATCCTGATAATAGGTATTCTGTGTAAAATTATGATAGTTGAAGATTGCTATAATTTTTAATTTTTAATTTTAAATTTACAAAAAAACATTATTGTTATTATATTAAAGCTGGTTATTTCCTTGTTTTTTTTTTAGTTTTTTGATGATTGTGTTTATGTGACTGGTATAAATTTCATTTTGTAATCCTTATTGGTTATTTTTATGGTGGTATCGTGAAAGATTACATACCAATTATTTGCGAATTTTGACTCAGGAGCTTAGGCAGAAGTCTTAAAATTGTTCAGAAACACAGGGCACAAAGGGTTAATCTAACAGACAATGATAAGTGTGTAGTAATTTACTACTATGTGAAGCACTATTGTGCCCTTGTGTCGGAAGGAAAGGAAAAGAAAGAAAGAAAGAAAGAAAGAAAGAAAGAAAGAAAGAAAGAAAGAAAGAAAAGAAAAAGAAAGAAAAGAAAGAAAGTATGAGTGTCTTTCAGTTCAGTTTTAAAGCTTATGTTTTATATGAGACATTAATCCTGTACGGGATTTGCAAACAAATCCACACGAGAAACATGCTGAACGAGTGGATGGTTTGTTTATTTATTTGTTTGGGTTCATTTATTTTACTTGTTTTAACAAGTACAACAAGTGAAATAAATTAACCCAAACAAATAAATAAATAAACAAACAATAAAGCCACTCCCGTCAAAATAACGTCCAGAATAGATTACTTACAATGCACCACTGACCCATATATATAAATAGTCGAGGAAAAATCCAACCATTCGTGGCTTGACGATTGCGTCTAGCATGAATCAGCTTGTCGCCTCTGAGTGTTGACTTCAATGTTCACATTTATATTTTATTTATTTACACACACACACACACACACACACACACACACACACACACACACATATATATATATATATATATATATATATATATATATATATATATATATATATATAAAATTGCTATAATTATCAGGGGCTTACTATCGGAGATAAAGGGTTTCTGAATATAGACAGTGTGGACATAGGAATCAACAGTGAATACTGACTTTACGTATTATTATATTACTTATAATTTGCTATAACTATGGGGGGGAACTAATCAATGTCGCGGATATAGCGTTTACAGAAATGAACAATGTGTACAAGGAAATCAGTGTTGCTTTAGATAACGGCTGCTCCATTTAGACCTTTTTGTTTAGGCTATATATATATATATATATATATATATATATATATATATATATATATATATAGGACACTGTGTGTTCTTGTAAAAGATAAGGTATTTTTTAGAGCTAATTTTTTTTTAAATATTTTTTAATATTGACTGGTATTTTAAATATTTAATTTTTTTTGTCTTTGGTCTTAATTTTTGGGATTTGCTTTAACATTAGTACAGTAGTCATAAAAAATTGTATATTTATATATATATATATATATATATATATATATATATATATATATATATATATATATATATATATATATATATAGATATATATACACACACACATATATATAAGTGTTTTTTAAGACATTTTATGTTTATATATTATTTTTTTAAAACTTATCTTAAAAAATTATTGTCGGACTTTGTCCATTTCATAATATATATAAGTGTAGATAAGTACTCTGCGCAATGGGTGGCACACAAACGTTACGTTTTATCTGGGCGGTTCATTGTAAGATAATTTTAATCTCACACATCTCAAAGACTATTATTATTCTTATTGAATTTGCTTTCAGTAACCCTCCCCCGCAAACAAACACACACGTTTACGTGTTTTTGTCATACTAATGTTGGGTCTGAAATTACTTCGGTGATTTTCGTAGTAGTTATAATTTTTGTGAGATAATTTGCGAATCATAAAATTTAAATACATCAGAGTTTTAAACAGATTCGAAAACTAATTTTGTTGCTAATTCAATGCTATTTGTTGACACCCGCTCGTTCCAGGCTCGTGATTTGAAACCACAACAAAAATGATCCGTTCCAACTCACAATTATCGTAAAATACCCATAAAATAGCTGATCAGATTCTAATTTTCTATTTTGCGTCTTGAAAAACCGCGACTAACGGGAGAGGTGGAGCAGAAATATTTCCCAACACTGAAGGAGGTGGCCGAGGAGAAAAGCTAAGGAAAGCGAAAGAATGGGAGAAAAAGGAAGGAAAGTGAAAACAGACGAGGAGTTGAAGGGGAGGCGTGGCCTAATGGCATTAGCCAAGCCATCAACATTGAGGAAAGGAGGGCCGAGGGGACTGGTCGGAGGGGACTGGTCGGTGTGATCGAAAGAGGTGGCTGTGACCCAGACAGACAGGTAGCACTGAATTGAAACAGCCTGACATCGCCCAAGCTGGAATGCACGTCGGCCCGGGTTTGGCCCGTTAGGAAGGCGGAAGAATGGTAAAGAACTGTAAAATGAAGAAAAAAAAAATGTCTCCGTCGAACGAAACTGGGCTTTACACTCCATTTGGCTTGCTTTTCAGGCTTTATTACATAGTCTATATACCACCTCAAGGCCTACCCCTGTATCGAAGAATCGATCCAGACAGTGGCGGCGCGGTTGTTTTCCTAACGCCACAAACACCAAACACCCAAACCTTCCCTTTAGTGTTTTTCTCTATTCCTTCATAATCCATTCTTTTCTTCTCTGTTGCTTTACCTCTTCTAGCTTTCTCAGTTTCTGTAAGATCGCGCTTTCAACTTTGTTGTCCAATGCGTTTGACAACATTTCTAAGTCTGCCTTTTCTTTTTACTCTTTCTATATTCTTTCGTTTTTTCTGTCTATTTATCGATCAAAATTCGTTTCTATCTCACCCAATCTGTTTATTATTCTCTTTTAGCAGTTTATTGATATCTATCTATCTATGGCAGTTTATTGATACTATCTATCTATCTATCTATCTATCTATCTATCTATCTATCTATCTGTGGCATTTTATTCGTATCTATCTATCTATCTATCTATCTATCTATCTATCTATCTATCTATCTATCTATCTATCTGTGGCATTTTATTCGTATCTATCTATCTATCTATCTATGGCAGTTTATTGATATCTATCTATCTATGGCAATTTATTGATACTATCTATCTATCTATCTATCAGTGGCATTCTATTCGTATCTATCTATCTATCTATCTATCTATCTATCTGTGGCATTTTATTCGTATCTATCTGTCTATCTATCTATCTATCTATCTATGGCAGTTTATTGATATTCATCTATCTATCTATCTATCTATCTATCTATCTATCTATCAGTGGCATTCTATTCGTATCTATCTATCTATTCATCTATCTATCTATCTATCTATCTATCTATCTATCTATCTATCTATCCGTGGCATTCTATTCGTATCTATCTATCTATCTATATATATATCTATATATATATATATATATATATATATATATATATATATATATATATATATGGCATTCTATTCGTTTCTATCTATCTATCTATCTATCTATCTATCTATGGCAGTGTTATTCATATTTATATATCTAAATATGCAGTTTATCAGTATCTATCAATCTATGACAGTGTTTTCATATCTATCTATCATGTTTTCAATCAAAGCGAAGCGAAGCAACTGTTCAATTTTGACTGGAGTGGAAACTAATGAAAGTAAATGAATAGAATAAAACAGAAAAGGAAATCTGAAAAATGAATGAGTGAAGGAAGAAATGAATGAAAAATGAATAAAACAAGAGGAGAACGGGTTTTTTGTTATAGGAAACGATTGAACAACAATAACAACAAAAAACTCCAAAGAAAAGCAAGAAATGATGAAAGAAAGAAAGAAATTGTAGAAGTAAAAATAAAGAAATGGACGCATAAATAAAAAGGAAAAAAAGCATGAAGGAAGAGAAAGAGATAAAAGATATTTTAGGAAAGAAATAAACGTAAAAAAAAAAAGAAGAAATAGATAAATATACAAATAAGAAAGAAAGAAATCAAACAAGAAAGAAAGAAAGAAAGAAAGAAGAAAAGAAAGTAATTTAGTGATATAAACAGAAAAGAAATATTAAACAAGGAAAAAAGAAAGGAAAAATAAAATGAAATAAAGAAAGAACAAACAGAAATAATATATAAAAAAAGAAGGCGTCAAGAAAGAAAAGAAAGAAAGAAAGCGAAAAAGATTAAGGAAGGAATGAAAAAGAAAGAAGAAAGCGAAATGGTATCCGGAAATAAAAAAGGAAAGAAGATACAGCTTCAGTCAGTGCCATGCGTGATAGACGCTTAGACGATAATGTATCTTTCGATACAGGACTGGCGAGGCAGATTTTTTTTTTTTTCGCAGTACGTTGCCATTTCTTTCTGGGGTAGACCAGTTCCCGTCCAAGGCTACAGAACCCAGTCTGTCCTGCTATTTGCCCATAGCAAGAGGGAGAAGAAAAGGATTAATACCTTTATTAGCACGTAAGTGAATGCAATGAATTCGATTGGAATTTGAACTCGGTTCTCCGATTCCACAATCCGAACCGCTATTCATTACTGCGCCAGGTTACAGCACAAAATAGAAAAGATGAGATAGTTGAGAATTATCCAGCGTAACCAATCTATGGTGTTCGAATCCATATAACAAAGCCGTCCTGGGTATGACGATAAACTATATCTGCGTCCTAGGCAGGACGATAAACTACGCCCAGCAGCAAGGCCTCTGATCAGGAGGCTTTGAGAAGCGTGGAACCACCTCTTAATTGCTGGTATTCCCAGGTCTACCCTGACCCGGGGTGGTAGCTCCACCACACAACCTGACTCAAAACACTATGAAAGTGCAAAAATAGATTTTAATACCAGAAATACTTTTTTTTAAAAATTAGCATCAGCAATAAATATTTGAAAAAAGAAAATATTACTAGAAATAAAAATCTTGTCAGCATTAAATAACCCATTGAGGTTAATATGACAAAACAAAACAAACTATACATATTTAAAAAATATATATATATAATTACCAGCTATACATTTTTGAAGAAAAAAAAAGAAAAAAAAAAGGAAATTTTGTCGGCATTAAATAGCCCATTGTGGTTGCTATGCCGTAAAACAAAACAAACCATATAACAAAGCTAGGAATTCTAATGTTGATTTCTAAGGCAAACACACAACAATAACTCCTCCCCCCCATCTCTAATTCATCAGAATAAAGACTTCTTATGAACAAAACTGTTTAAACTCAGGCTGAAATAATTTTATACAAGGAGAATCAAAGATTTCGAATGTTGATTTTTAAAAAAAAAAATGTAGACAGTTTTCCTTCCATTTTAAAAGTTGGTGTTTAAAAATCATTTTAACCCCAAGCCTCGAAGTGTTAGTAATCCTACCTCCTTATTTACTCAGTAACTAAAATAGAAACAAAAAAACAGATAATTCGATTTGATAGAGCTAATAGCAGTTACAAAAACTACCTTTCTATATAATCCCAATCATTTTCTATGCATTTTCAACAGCAATGAACTATGTAAGGCGGCCCGAACATGACGTCCCTTGCACATTATCTTAAACACATAATTTGCTGTTTAACTGTTCTCACGTCCAATGTTTCGTCTCCGTAAACGCTCAGCAACATCGATGGATGTTGATAGATGCAGTTTTCCCGCAACGACACACCTCTTTTTTATATGTACTTTCGTGTCAGAATTCACTTTATCAAGCCTGTTGGTCAGCAGTTCGAAATGCTGCAAGAAAACAGATTTACTACCAGGAAGAATAAACCTCTATTACTCTGTCACCAATATATTTTTCTATTGTCATGCGCCAACATCATAAAATTGGAGGTGTTACTTTTGAAACAACCTTCGTATATTTGAAGGAAATTGATTGTTTTGATCGTTTTTTTACGGATTATCAACCCTTTGCAGTTTATTTAAAGCAGAAAATATTTGTCGGTGGTAAGATTTCTTTTCCTGGAGACGATAATGATTTAGTGATACAAGGTTTTATTAATTAACCCATAGCTGGGGAGAAGAGGTAGATTCATACCTTTGCCAAGGGTATTTGCGCGTAGGGGAATATAACGAACCTAAATATAATTGGAACTGGGATTTCCGGTTAAAATTTCCAACTCAGTATCCATTACATCACCCGAAAATTCAAGATTACAGCATCTGGTATTCCCAAGAGGTCACCCATCTTGGTACTGACAATGATTGACGTTGCTTAACTTCGGTGATCGTACAGAACCATGACGTTTCAGCATGACGTGGCCGTAAGCCTCTATGAAAGAAAGAAAACAGAAGAGGTCAAATCAAATTAAAGTAAGAAAGCCATAAACAAGATTTTTTTTAAAGTCTTTAACAAGCTGGCAATGCCATAAAAGATTATTATTATTATTATTATTATTATTATTATTATTATTATTATTATTATTATTTTCTTTGATTTCTGGCGTTTACACATTTCTTTCCGGATCCCGCCCAGGGACCTAAGGTTAGAAATGGCGTCATGACACTTTCCACTGACAAAAAAAAATTAAATTACATAGATAAAGCCCTTCGTAAGGTGTGGGCTGTACTATTATTATCATTATTATTATCATTATTATTATTATTATTCGCTTAAATGCCACTGAAGGCAGTGTTTAAACTTGATGTCAATAATAGACCTTATATATCATTATTATCCGTGAAAAAATTCAGAATATATTTCTTTCTATATATAAACAGACGAGACGAACGACAGCTGTTTTGGAAAGATTTTTTTTTTTTAATTTGAAAGTATATTACTATGTTTTTCTTTTCTTCAATGAACATTTTGGGTTAGTAGAACATTACATTCTGTTTATACAAAAAGTTCTATTTGCTTGGTTGTCTTGCTAAAATAAAATATAATCAAAATTTAAAGAATTTCAAATGCCCTTTACATTGTTTTAAACGTGCTTAAAATATCAATATCTGAAAAAGAATTCACTCAGAGAAATAATTGAGGACTTTAAAAAAAAATAAAACAAGAAACTTAAGTTAATATTCCAAAACTAATTTTAGCAGAATATTTCAGAAGCTATTCGTAATTATATAGATATAAAGCTTGCCCCCTTTATCTATAGATCGATAGTTCGAATCATACCAGGATTTAATTGTTTATATACACTCTCGTGCAAATTGAAGCTGTTTTATTTTCCTTTTTTCACCATACAGTCAGTTTTAGATCTACTGCAGTGACGAGTTTTATTTTTTCTTCAGATTAGGTAATTTGCAGAAGTGTGCAGTAATATGAATCTATTTTCGGTGTGTATGATGAAATTTGACCGTGAAAAATATTGCGTCATCCGTGGTTACATCAGATTTTTATCATGCCCAAACACTATTTACTCGACTGTCGATTAGTTGTCCTACGGCCATTGTCTGCAATGGACGTTACTCCCAAGAATGCGCACAAAGATTGTAACCCTGCACAAAAACACAGTGGGAAGACTTACCAGTGAGCAAATCCAAATACTATCGACTGGCCTGGAAACTCTCCTGATTTAAATTTAGTCGAGTATCTGTGGTCAATCTGTAAGGAACGACTTCGTGGAATGGACATTCAAAGTACTAACATATGCACTGGGTTATGTTTCATTGATAAAAATATGAAAAAAGTAAATAATAATGGAATTATTCATTTTGTTACAATTATAATTTGCACAAGAGTGTATCTGTTTAACTTCGTGTGACGAAGCACTTAAAAGTGATATCAGTTTTCCATCAAATTATTTGATGTTAAATAAACAGGACTATTCTGTAACTATTATTTTCTTTTTCATGAAACTGCAAAAAATAAAAAGAAATTTTACAGGAAGATATGTCCAAATGTAAGTTTAAATGAAAAAAAAACAATTTATTGTACAATAATAAGAATAATATCTCACAAAAAAAACATCAAAGTGTTACAAAAATTTTAAGTGTTTTGATAGATTTGCAAATATATTACTTTACGCCAGAAGTCCCTTTAGGCAGACTGAAATATATTCAAGAGTTATGTCAGTTTTTTAGATATAGAAGAACAAAAAAAAAATACCTGAAGGGAAGATAGCAGAGGAAAATTGGAAAGTTGAATCTAAGGAGAAGAAAGTAGGGTGGAAGTTGGTTGTCCTGTGTTCGAAATAATAAACTTTCAGCCAGGCAATGTGTCTATAATTGTGGATAAATTTCTGCCATCGTTGTTAAGGGGATGTCCAGCGCGTTTTTCTTCATGGACAAGGTCCCAACCTCCTCCTTTTAATTGACTTTTTTTTTTTTTTTTTACTACTGAGCCAGTGACATTTGTCCGCTAAGGTATCTACCTTCATTTGAAATCAGGCCGTCTTTTACGTTTCTGGTGAGCGTTGTTTTTGGCAGGGTTTTCGGCTGCGAAAATCATTTCTTTATGAAGCAATTAGGAATCATTTTCTCTCTTTTAATTTTGACGTGATTTTCTTTTTCGCATTGTTAAGGAAAACGCAAACAATCTAAACCAGATCATTATTATCAGGGTGAGTGTGAATGCCGAAGCTACACTATTATTATTATTATTATTATTATTATTATTATTATTAAACTGAAAATTGCAATGGAAATTACATCATTTTTATCATTTCACCTCAAGCAAGATGTGAATGCCACTAATACGTAGGGAAAGTTACAGAGAGTGAAAGAGAGAGAAAAGACTGGGTACATGGGTGGGGAGGGGGAATGAGGCATGGAACAAACTGTCGATTGACATTGGCATTGCATTTAAAGTTTTGAAGATTGTAGTTATGAGAGAAGCAATGAAACGGAAGGTAGTTCCACAGGCACGAATTGCGAGAAAAAACATTGGAGTAGAAGTTTACCTAATTCAACAGTAAAATGTTGAGACCTAGATACCAATCTAGTAGTACGATTAAACAGGCGTAGTCCGGGCACCAGGGAAAAAAAAACTCGTCAAAGCAATAGCCATAAAAGTATTTGTAAAAAAAAACAGAGGGAAGGTTCGTCGTGTCGGTGAGAAAGTGACTGAAGTTGAGATGACAAATCAGGATCGATTACAATGCAGATCCTTTGATTTTCAGATTTTTCTATTTAGAGTATTTTAACATTGTTGCCATAATAGAAACGACGTTACGATATGCTAATTTAGTTCTGTTACGGTATAAAACAAAAATAAACGGATCAATATCTTATAGAAAATATATTTTCATAGAGTTTTAAGGGAAATGCTTTCACTGGTGATGTATGAGAGTAATACTTCAGCACCTTCCGCAGTATTATCGCTCATTTTAGTAAAGGTCTTATTTGAATAATTTCTATTCTTGCTAAGATTTTAAATGTTTCTAACCACTTTAAATGTTCTTCAGGATTTTTCCAGCTGCTCCTATAATATTGGTCACAATTAGAATATACATTGGTGTATGAATCAGTTACAAAAACTATAGTATAGGAGATCAAATAAATTGTCATAGAATAGGTTGTGGTAGGGTTAGTTTCGCCTAGCACTACAAGCTGCTCAGCCAGTCAGTTATGTGTCATGCGTGATACACGCTTAAGCGATCATGTATCTTTCGATACATGACTGACGAAGCGGACTTTTTCCCGCAGTAGGTTTTCATCCAAGGCTGTAAGCACGGTCTGTACTGCTATTTACCCATAGCTGCGGGAGGGAGGAAGAAGAGTATTCATATCTTTCCCAAGATTATTAGCACGTAAGTGAATATAATGGATTCGGCCATGCCATGCGTGATACACGCACAGGCGATCATGTATCTTTCGATACATGACTGACGAGGCAGACTATTTCCCTGCAGTAGGTTGCTATTTCTTTCTGTAGTAGACCAGTTGCCATCCAAGGCTATAGAACCTGGTCTGTCCTGCTATTTACCCATAGTCATTGGGAGGATTCATACCTTTTCCAAGGGTATTAGCACGTAAGTGAATGTAATGGATTGGACTGGAATTCGAACTCGGCTCTCCAATTCCTCAATCCGAGCCGCTATCCATTACTCCACCGTGAAAACCAAAGTATTGATTTAAAAGACTGGGATTATGTTCTTTAGTCTCGTCAGATCGACACTTTAATACGGATGCCATGTATGGTGCCAAACCCGTTCAGAAATATCTAAAATGTCACCTCTATACAGCCGCTTTCTAAGATTAATGGTTAAAATATATTCGAACGAATGCAATGTGTCGGAATCAGAACCATCCTTCTTTGAACCGTGTGGACTGGCGCTACACAATCACAAACAAAGAACTGCATCAAATAACAGAAACCACATCACTTGAGGACTTAAAACATAAACAACAACTGAAATGGATAGTACAGTTAAATCGAAGAGAAGATAGTGATATAAGGAAGGTTTTGACGATCCACACTACCTGAAACAAAAAGCAAAGGAAGAAGTCTCTGTCAATACTGTAAAGAGCAATAATAGCTACTGTACTTGGCAAATCTATTTTCATTTTAATAAAATGTTTTAAGTGAAAGATTTTCTTAATTTCAACCGATATCTTCACTGTCACGGTGTCATGCGACACCAGCGGCTCCCGAACAGGAGCGTCTACGCAATTTCTCTTACAGGGCTTAGGTCAACTTCTGGCATGGTTTATCATGAATTTCCCGCAGACGTTGGGGGTCACCACTTTAGGCCGGTAACATCAAGAATTTACCTTACTGAGAAATCGAACATAAATAAAACCTGGGTCTTATGGTCGGAAAGTAAACGTGCTAACCACCTGGGCATCGGTCTCATAAAAGCTATGAATCTTATCTGTTCTCAGCTTATTCTTTGAAATCTTAAAATGTGGATTTTAGCTTCCCAGATGCTAGTGCCATTATTTTCAGTTCTAAAAATGTGTGATAGCCAGAGCCTTTCATATTTTTCTTATCCTAATCAGTCAGTTCACTGATGTGCCATACGTGATACACGCTTAAGTAATCATGTATCTTTCGATACATGACTAAAGGGGCAGATTTTTTCCTACAGTAAGTAGACCAGTTGCCATCCATGGCTATAGAACCCTGTCTGTCCTGCTATTTATCCAGAGCTAGTGGTGGTGGGGGTGGGGTAGAAGAAGAGGATTCATAGCTTTCCCAAGTATAAACGAATGTAATGGATTCGACTGGCATAATCCTAATATCGTTCCGTTTTAAAAATATAGTGATTTTCCAAGCGTAGCTTAGATGTGACACAAGGTCAAATGTAGGGATTTTAAAACACAGTCGTAAATGTTCTAGCGAGAAAAGCTTGTTAACCATTACACCGCCTCGAGGTGCCCTTTTCCGCTTTAAACATAACTTTTATTTATATTCTTTCTTAGAACTTTTTCTTATATTTCTTTAGTTTCTCTACAATCATCGTTATTGCTATTGTGTTTCATACGTTTGCATGTTCATTAGATGTTTAGTGTTTATTGGGGTTGATTGAATAGCAAGTCTCCGGAAAACTAAGACAGCCGTTCTATTAATGTTATTAAGAGAGAGAGAGAGAGAGAGACAGTGAGAGAGAACGAACAGTACGCCAACAGAATGAAGTTGGGGTACAAATACCCAACATGGCAACTAGTCGGATAAGGGTATACCATGTATATTATTATTATTATTATTATTATTATTATTATTATTATTATGAACTTACTATATTCACACTAGTTTTAAGTAGTAGCTTTTCCTGGAGATTATATGACAGCAATGATTTATGATTCCTCCTTTGTATTTCGATATTTTTCTGCAATTTCATCGTCTCAGTTTTGCCGCTGCTTCTAAAATCCACAATTATTTTTCCTTGTATTTTTCTTCTTCTTTGAATTATATCCTTCTGATTATACTCTTTCTTCTTTTTTCTTCTTCATCTTCTTCTCGCCATCTTTTTTTTTTCATTCTTCAACTTCTTCCATTCTCTTGTTTCCCTCCTCCTTCTTGTTTGTTCTCCTTTATTTATATCCCAACTCTTCTTTCCGTCCCTATTAAAATCTTTCATTCTCTTTCTCTTTTCTATTTATTCTTCCTTGCTTCCATTCCTTCTTTCTTTCATCCACTTTTTTCATTCTTTAGCTATCGCTTGTCTTTTTCCATTTCTTGCTAATCTTTTCTTCTTTCTTTCATTGATTCTATTTTTCTTCTCTATTTTCATTCTGTATTCGCCCTTTTCTTTCCTTCAATTTTCTTCATTCTTTTCCTGTACTTTTTTCTTTTTTTTTATGTCTCATTCATTCTGCCCTCCGCGTTTTATTTTCATACTTCGACGGATTTCATTCTTTTTCTTTTCAATCTTCTTCATTCTGCCTTTTCTTTATTTTTGGCCTCGAAGTTTTTCATTCTCTTTCTCTTCTCTTTATATTTTCAACACATTATACACTCTCCTTTCCTTCATTCACTTTTTCATCTAGTTCTATTTCTTTTTTATCTTGTACATTTTCCTTTCATTCATCGACTTTTTTCATTCGCTCCTTCCTTTTATTCTTTTTCTATTTTTTCTTCATCTTATTGTAGGTTTTTCTTTCTTTCATCGATTATTTTACTCGCTCCTTCCTCTCTTTCCTTTTCATATTTCTTCTTTATTTTCTTCAACTAATCCCCCTCCTTCTCTTCTTTTCTTCCTTCTACTTTTTCATTTTCTTCCTTTTTCTTCTTCTATTTATTATAATTCATTTCCCGCCACACTTAATTCCTTATTGTCTATGAATTCAACATGTTTCATCGATTTAAAGAAAACGGAAAGTATCATTAAGTGTCGCTATGCCTGATTCCCCAAATCTATTCCGACTGTTGTCATCTGTGTCTCTGCTGCAGCTGCTATTTCGTCTGACATTTTTAGTAGTAACCGGTGTCATGTGCAGTCTCCATAACAATGTCTGGCATGGACGACAGTACTGTCTCTTAATTTGTTCCATTCTTATGCGAAAAGCAAAAATGGCCTTTGCTGATTTATTCTTTACAAAGACTATTGCCTATCTCACAGCAGTTAATTAATTTGAAATGGTCTCAAGAGATGTGCTGACATTTCCTTCTTTTTTTTCTTTCTTTTTTCTTTCTTTCATTCTTTCTTTCTTTCTTTTTATTTATCTATTCTCTTTCTGTTCCTATCTATCTATCTATCTATCTATCTATCTCTGTTCTTATCTATCTATCTACATCACACACACACACACACACACACACACACATATATATATATATATATATATATATATATATATATATATATATATATATATATATATGGTAGTTTATTGATATCTATCTATCTCTCAGTTTGTACATATGAAGGAAACTGAAGTTAGGTATCTCATTCTGACATTTACTGTATACCATTATCTATTTTAGATGTTAGTCGGTATATATATATATATATATATATATATATATATATATATATATATATTATATTATATCTTACATTAATTTCACAACTCCGAGTTTCGTACCGAAGCAATGTTCAATTGCTGGAATCATTATATTTATTTTTATTTATATTTTGTGTTGACAGTGTTTTTTTTTTTTTAATTTTCATTTCACACGAGATATATTATTGTTACGGTGGAATATCATTGAAGTTAAAATATTTAAATGAATTATAGTTTAATTTTGAATTTGAATTTAAGATTTAAGATTGAAAATAAAGTTATAAATAAGAAATTTATATACGATCGATATATATATATATATATATATATAATTCAATTTCTACTTACTTATCTATCTCTCTATCTATCAGTTTTAATATGTCTTAGCTAGTTATCCCATTATATTCATATCAATTCATATAATCAATATATATATATATATATATATGAAGCAATATACTCTTAAGGTGTGCTATATTTATGGGATAAAGTGTTCAATATCTGAGATAGAGCGTGTGTAAATATAAAAGTGAACATTGAAGTCAACACTTAAAATAAGTAATATAAAATAAGAATTACTTTTTTTTATATATATATATATATATATATATATATATATATATATATATATATAAGTAATATAAAAATATAAAAGGCCTGACGATTGCGTCTAGCATGAAAGAACCTGTCGCCTCTAAGTAGAAATTGAGTTATATATATATATATATATATATATATATATATATATATATATATATATATATCGATCGTATATAAATTTCTTTATTTATAACCTTATTTTCAATCTTAAAACTTAATGTGAGCTTAAATTCAAATTCAAAATTAAACTACAATTCATTTAAATATTTTAACTTAAATAATATATGTCGCTTGAAAGGAAAATTAAAAAAAAACAATGTCAAAACAAACTAAATATAATAATTCTAGAAATTGAACATTGCTTCGGTACGAAACTCAGAGTTGTGCAATTAATGTATATATATATATATATATATATATATATATATAATTCGATTTGTATCTATCTATCTATCAGTCTGGACATATCTTATCCCATTCTGTCCATATTAATTCATATTATCAATATACTGTCGAATGAATATGTTCAGTGGTCGAAGATCTGACTGACATTAAAATCAGTTGGGTTTCTATACGGGCTTGAGGCATTCGGTTGTCTAATCGCACTGAGGAGCTGTGATACAGCGAAACAGTACTGTCTTCGAATGACATATATATATATATATATATATATATATATATATATATATATCAGACGTGCGTTAGGATATCGACAGGCTGAGTTCAAATCCTATCCAAATCTGTTGCATTCACTTTGTGGTAATGCCACTGGGAAAGGGATGAATCTTTTCTTTCCCGAGCTATGGTTATCAGTAAGGTAGACTAGGCTATTTATCCTTGGTAGGAGAATGACCACACTGAATTGAAAACCTTGGAGAATGCAATTCTATTCAATATATTTTCCAACAGGTTGCGAATTGTTATCAAGGAAAAAGATGTTTTGAAAAGTCTTGACCTTATATTATATACACTGCGTGACAAATTACTATCAAGATAACTTTTTTTCTAATATTTCAAAAACCGTCCAATCAATTCGCACAAAAGTTTCACACAATGTTGGTAACACTGACCTGCGCAAAAACAGATATTTTTGTACTGATCTGCGCAATGTAAACAAACTGGCGCCATATTTGTTATATTTGGTCGTTAACTAGAGAAACAATCGATGATGCTAGTTAGCAATTTGACATGTCTTAACCATAATTCTACAGAAGGACGCTGACAATAATCTAGACGGATCATGTGAGCTGTGAGAATCTTTGAAGAAAAAGGGAAAGGAAAAGTACACTTTTGCGTAGGAATACAAAGTGACACATGGAATTTCTGTGGCACATAATGAGGAATGTGGGCTTGGATTAAATAATACTCATAGGCAATACGTTCAGAGGGAAATAGCGAGTAAGCTACCTAACGTGTTTGTGTAAATCAATGACCGAACAGAGACTGGGAGAGATAATTAAGAGACAAGCATTACTTAGAGATCCAATTAATAGAAAGTTGTGGAAAAATCGGAAGCTGCGCTAAGGGTGGTCTTGCACAATATCGCAAATAGCTACGAAACCAAAGATTTAACCAGAAAACTCAGTTCATGTTCTTAAATAGCCTCGTCAGATCATGACTTTCATGCGAATGTCATGCATGGTGCCAATATCTAAACTGTTGTTAAATAATAGTTTCAGACTATTATTTTTTAGTTGCAGTGTATTTGACTCAGATTTTTTGAGGCTGACCTTGGTGTCAGATGGCAGATAAAATAGGAATGTCGATTTTGATTGATTGAGCCGAACGTGAGAATCTTAGATTTATAAAGTGTTTTCAGGGAGTTAAGTTTTACGCGTCGAAACATGCAGACGTGTTAATTTTATATGTGAAAGCTGCTCCTCAGCGGGGTGGGTTAGCATACCCTTTGGCTGGTTAAAAATGAACAAGTCGACGTGTTTAATAAAACAGATAAGTTAAAAATCACTTTTTTTTTTTTTTTTTTTGAAGTTCTCATTTTCCCACTGAACAAACCAACTAGTGATCACCTGACCGGGAGAAGACGGCCAAGAGAGAAGAATGTAGATTCGTTATGAAATCGACCCCGTCAACTAAAAGACCTCCCCAGAATTGAGGAGATATACAACGCTTTCTCAGATCAATGGTTAAAAATAGCTTGAGTAAAGGTTCTGGGTATTGGCGAAGACCATCATGTCTGCGAATTTTGTGGTCTGGCGCTACAGAATCAAAAACAAAGAACCGTACCAAATAACAGAAATTACATTGCTTGAGGTTTTTTTAACAACAGCTAAAATGGATTTCCAAGTTGCTCGAAGAGAGTGGATTTGAGAAACCTATTTTCCTGATAAATTGTTTTAAGGGAAACATTTTATAAAACTCGACAACTAGCTATTTGGTCAAAGAATATCGAATGTTTCCTTATAAAGAAACGGTTAATATTGCCATTATCATGATTTCTCACATCTTGAAGTGATATAGCATATAACAGAAGATACACACCTCTGTTTACGAACCCATTCATATTTTTTGAGCAAAGTAGGTCACAAATGCAAAAGTGAGAAAACGCTGGTGGAAGATATGGTTTTCTGGTGTGTGTGTGTATAGGGGGGATCAAGGCTAATCGTATATGTAGTGAACAACGTCATGCCTAAAAAATCGGTATGTGAAAATCTACCTGTTAAGATGAGATCGAACACTGACAACTATGGCAGAAAATGGGTGATTATCTCAGCTCATATAAATGTAACAATAGACTTCTCTTTAATTAAGTATGTCTTTTTTTTCTTTGTGAATCAATGCAATCGATAAGTACAAATTATCTATTTTGTATTTATTATTTAGATAAGCATAAAAATATGTAATGTATAAAAAAATGAAAATTTTTCTTTATTTTACGTTATTTTGCTACTAACCTGCTAATTGGTTAAAGTGACTCACCGACTTGTTTGTGTGAAGGAAACGTTTTTTGTTTCGTTTTTTTTTTTTTTTTTTTTTTTTTTTCAAGTTATCTTTACACATCTACTTATTTATGCATACATAAATGGGCGGAAAAACACAGCTGATTTCTTTGCTTATTTTTTATTCTATATTCGATGTGGGATTTCTTTTTTTAAAAAAAAATAACAACGCATTAAGTAAAATGTAGAATTTAATCATAAAAGAAGAGAATACTTGAAGACGACTAGAGAAACGAAAAGGCAAAAAAGAAAAAAAATTAAATTAATGGAAGGAATGAGCAGGATCTTTTTTAGCAAATCAAAGGATAAGAACAAAACAATAAAAAACAAATGAAATAAAAAACAACTGTCGAGAAAAAAACATGAGTTCAATCCCAACACGTAAACAGAAAATGTTATTGTAAACAATATTAGTACCCTCTTGATATATATGACATTGATAACGCAAAACGCGTTCATAGAAATAAATACATATGTACTTGACATCACACATATATTCACACACACAAACACATACACATATGTGTGTGTGTGTGTTTGTGTTTATTTCGTATAGAAATCCCAGTAAAAAGAATTATTTTTACAAAGCCGCAGATATTTAAACGAGAGTTGAAGTGAATTAGAAACGACCGTAAATCTACAGTGTGTGAATAAATCGGTTTTATTAAATTTATAATCTGTTTACAAAAAGTAACAGCAAATTCATATTTAACATTCAGTCAAATATGAAGTCGTTTTTCACAGTATATTAATTTTGTAAAGAAATCGATTCTGTCTATATTTCTGAGATGAGATATTGTAATTGTTTACATTATTTATATTGTTCGTCCGAAATACATAGTTCAGTTGGAAATTCCAATAACCTAAAGAAGGCCGGGGCGTACAACGGCCGAAATGTCAAGAACATGACAATAAAGATTCGAATAACAGTCCGAACAATGTAAATAGATTAAATCATTTGAAAAAGGCTTCAAGAATGCTTCAGTTGATATATTTGGGAGTTCCTCTTCTGTGCTGGAACTATTTAGGGATGATGATGACATTCCAGAACTTCCTATTTTTATTTTCATAACCCAGTTAGATAGGTTACAGCGTCTCCATCTGTCATTTTTGCATTCAATATATCCTGTGACTATCAGATTCATTGATCTCCACAACTTCCTATCCTTTCTAGCAATTAGTAAAGTTTTTCTTTTCACCACCACTTCCAGTCACTGTTCTGCCATCGATTTGCACAAACTCATTAGATAGGTTACTTACTGTTTCCATCTGTCACTTCTGACTTCAATATTCCCTGTGAGTATTAAATTCATGGCTCTTCACATCTTCTAATCATCTCTAGCTCTTAGTAACGTTTTTCATTCAAAATCACTCCCAGTCTCTAATCTAAAATCCATTAGCACAAACTCGTTAGCTATGTTACTCGCTGTTTCCCTCTCTTATTTTTGCCTTCATTATGTCCTGTGAATATCAGATTCATGGATCTCCACAACTTCCAGTCATCGCTAGCTCTTAGTAATGTTTTTCTTTTCACCACCACTTCTAATCTCTGTTCTACCATCCATTTGCACAAGCTCATTAGATAGGTTACTTACTGTTTCCTTCTGTCACTTTTACATTCAATACGTCCTGTGAGTATCAAATTCATGGCTCTCCACAACTTCCTCTCCTTTCTAGCTCTTAGTAATGTTTTTCTTTTCACCTTCAGACCCAGTCTCTGTTCTGCCATTCATTTTTATAAGCTCATTATGTAGGTTAAACCCTGTTTCCCTTTGGTCACTTTTTTCAATATGTTCTGTGTGTATCAAATTCATTGCTCGCCACCGTTTCCAATCCTCTCTAGCTCTTAGTAACTTTTCCTTTCAAAATCACTCCCAGAATCTGTTCTGCTATGCATTGGCACAGGCTCGTTAGGTAGGTTAAACCCTGTTTCTCTCTGTTACATCTGCCTTCACTATGTCCTGTGAATGTCAAAAGTTCCAAGTACACTTTCATCATTTTACGTTATAGAAATTTCAATAGTCTATTTCTGATGATAATCATAAGTGTTTTTTTTTCCCCATTTTTTGGTAATATGCCCTTGTTGCTTACATGCACCGTCCATGGTATTCTGAGCATCCTTCTCTGGAATCATATCTCTTTTCCTTCAAACCGCCCATTTATCAGTGAAAAAATTGTCCAATATTCACTGCCATATCGGAATATTGACGCTACATAGCAGTTTAGCATGTTTTTCTTTGTTGATAATGATATTTTCCTATCTCTTTATACTTTGCTGAGGTTTTGAAAGATATAATGATTTCCTTGCCACATTTTCCATCTTCCGTTAAAAACTTTCTCAGGTATTTGAATTTTTTTTTCTCCAATTCCTAATTCGTATCTTGGCCGATTCTTCTTATTGACAACCGGAATGGTACTTCGAGGTAATTGAGGCAAAAGGCGAAATATTCCGGAATTTATAAAACCATAATAACACAATTCTAGGACATCTAGTGTGAAATGTATTCTCAACAAATGAATGTAGTGGTCCGCAAGATGAGCTTGCTAAACATTATTCCACAATGATGCGACTAAAATATTTTCTAAATTTAGCGTATTTAAGTTTTAGTAACCCTCATTTCAATTTCAAACATTTTCTTAAATTTCATTATTTGTTAAATAAAAAATAAGCTTCGAAAAATTTCGATAAAAAAACAATCAAAATTTGTGCAAATGTAGGCTCAACCAACATAAAAAAAAATATTTCTCAATTTTATCCCTAATTTAAATTTTTCAAGAAATCCTATTGGCTAAAAAATAAAAAATACAAGATTCGGCCACACATTTCTCAGAAAAATTCGTAACAGCTACCAAGCCCCGTTAAGCCGATTTCGCTGTTAAGAAAACTATAAACAGAAATAGTAAACGAATTTTCATCGCATTTGAGACTCACACATGCGAAAGATACACACATGAATTATGTGCCGCCAAAGAAACAAACTTTCTTTATGAGAGATTAGAAAAATTCACAGAACAAACTTTTTCACTCAATATCTTTCATATCTTTTGTTAAATTCAACATTTTTAATCAAAGGCAGACAACTTTTAGACATTAAACATTTCCGAAAAAGCAAAGAATTTTTTCTCTAAAATATACCTTTGCACACATCATTACAAACAAAGAAATATTAAATTGTGTATATAAAATTTAATCTGTTGTTTCAAACATGTACTTTTTGTCGTGATTGAATATCGTTACCATTTGGCCGTTTCTTATAATTTATGTTTGTGGATATTGCATATTTTATTTGCAGCACAATCTTAAATATTCATGCAGCCTTTCCTAGATGCCCTACTAAGTATAAGTTGTTTGATATTATCATTCAATTCGACAGATGCGGTTAAATGCTGCCTGAAAATTTCCGGTCAGTGCAAAATGAATTTCGGACGTCAAAATAGAAAGGCGATAAATATCAATATTTAGGCATTTTAAAACATATTTTAGCGTTTTGCTATTGAAATTTATGGTGCATTTGCTAAAAGTTGCTAAATTTTAATGTTTGTTTCATACAGATGTTATTTAAATGGAATGTAAAATATTTCATTTTTCTTTTGGAAAATCGTCACAGTTCATGTGGCGTATATTTACCATAATTGTACCACTATGGAAATTTTTATTTACACAAACACATAAATACAAACACAAGCGCGCGCACGTGCTCACACACACAAGCACGCGTACAGACGCACAACAACGCACACACACACATGCACTCACTGGTGTTTAAGCGTTAAATAAAAAATGAAAAATGTGTGTTTTACGTAAATGGAGTTTGACTGCAGATTTCAAATACTAACTTGATTTATTGTGCTTCTTACTTACTATTTCGTTTAAGAAAAGCATATATATGTGGTCGGCTGACGATCACGGTAGTGTAAAACTCGAGTAGCGATGTGGGCATTGTTTCTTTTTTGTAATGGTGTTGCTTTATAGTGCAATTGCTCTGTCTTTATCATTTAGACTGAGCGCTCGGTGATTTACTCTTTGGATAGGTGTTTGTCTCTTGCTTTTTTCTATTAACTATAAAATTCCTTTTCCTTTTTATTCATTTTTCTTGTATTGTTTGTATTTATTGGTTTTTGGCTCTTGATTTTGGAATTTAACACGCTTTGCATTGGTTTTACCAACAGTTTGCTTTGTTACACACACACGCACACGCACAGATACACAAACGCACAGACTTTGAATTATGGCATTGTGTCCTCCGCATGTTTTGACTCACCTTTCAACCACCTGATAAAATTTCAGGAATATTCTCAGATTTAAAAGCCTTCATAAATCAATCACATCCTTGCTTTTGTATATAAACATGTGCAATAAAATAAATCCTTACAGTTTCCTTGATAAAGTCCCTCAAAGGAGAAACTAAGAATAGTTTTTCCACTTGTCTTTTTATTCATATATATATATATGTGTGTGTGTGTGTGTGTGTGTGTGTGTGTGTGTATCGTGCACCCAGTGGCCGATTGAACACAATCTTCAGTCATGAAGATTACATCCAAGCATGAAACAGATTGTCGCTACTCGTTGTTTTATATTTACACACTCTCTACGCCTGATATTGATTTTTTTAGCCATGAATATAGTACACCTTAAAACTATATTAGAGAAAATGAGAAAGTGAACATTTTCATGTGACGTGTTTTATCCTTTAGCATAACTTAGGACTAACGCCTTAAACGACGAAACGCGTCACACGAAATGTTTTTCCACTTTGTCTTATGTACTAAAATTGTCCTTGCTATATAAAAATTTATGTATCGATCTCCCATGTATATATATATATATATATATATATATATATATATATAGTAAAAAAAGGAAGAACAGTAAGATATATAATCCAGTGTTCTTATTGATATTTTATTTAAAAAAAAGGCACCCTACACTACCTAGACTTAACCCATTTTCGAACGTAACTCATAATTGATACAATAATACTTAATAAAAAGGAACACGCTACCGCCCCTATCTAAATGATTGGATTTCTCTGTGTCCTTGGAAACAAAAATTATGAATGTATGTGCTTTTAAAACTCAGTAAATTTTAAAATAAGTTATTCTAAAATTCGCTTGAAGATGAAACAGAATTAATGCTTTTAATTTAATATAATTGAATTAGAAGTT